CTCCTCAAATCTTTATTATTTCTTTTCTTCTGGTGACTTTTGGCTTTGCTTCCCTCCCCCCAACCCCTTTCTTTTTCTAATTGTTTGAGATGTTGGGTTAAGGTGTTGATTTTGGTTCCTTCTTCCGTATTTGACATTTGTGTTTATTACTCTAACTTGTCCTCTGAGCACCACTTCTCTTGTGTCCCATAGATTTTGACATATTGTGTTCTCATTCTTGTTGATTAAAGGATTTTTTTTATTTCTTATATTACCCAGTAGTTTTTAATCAGTATGTTATCCAGTTTCCAAGTATTAGATTTTTTTCCCTTGTTCTTTCTGTTGTTTATTTCTAATTTCATACTGTTGTAATCTGAGAAGATGCTTTGTAGTATTTCAATGTTTTAAAATTTATTTTGGCTTGCTTTGTGAAAAATCTTCTATGTGCACTGAAAAGGAATGTATATTGTGCTTTGGTTGGGTGGAGAGTTCTTTATACATGTGTGAGGTCAAGTTAGTTAACTATACTGTTTAAATCTTCTGTATCTTTTCTGAGTTTCTTTTTATTTGATCTGTCCTCTAACAAGAGTAGTATATTAAAGTCTTTTTCTATTATTGTGGAGTTGCCTACATCTCTTTTCAGTTATGTTAAAGTTTAATTTATGAATTTTGGTGCTCTTTCATTGGGTGTGTAGATATTTATTATGGTTATGTCTTCTTATTGAACTGTCCCTTTAATCATTATATAATGACCCTCTTGTCTCTTATGCTAATTTTTGTTTTGCAGACTATTTTATCATATATTAATATTCTCACTTTTGCTCTTTTTTTTTTTTAATTTGTTTGATTTATGTCCTCCAATCCTTTGATTTTCAGCTTATTTTTGTCTTAGTGTCTAAGATATGTCTCTTGTAGACAGCATGTTGATGGGTTATGTGTTCTTAACCATTCTGCTGCTCTTTGTCTCTTGACTTGCACATTTAATCCATTATCATTTAGTGTAATTATTAATTCATATGAATTTACTGCTGTTATTTTGCTTTTGCTTTGTTTTTGGTGCTGATGATTTCTTTTTTTTTTTTTTTCATATACTTTTCTGTGTTAAGTTCATTTTGTTTGTAAATTTTCTTATCATTTCCTTTGTTACTACTATTATACTGTTTATAGATAGTTTAGGAGCTCTGGTAGCATAGTGGCTAAGGCACTTGACTGCTAACCAGAAGGCTGGCAGTTCAAACCCACCAGCCACTCCTTGGAAGGAAGATGGGGCAATCTACTTCAGTAGTGATACTGCCTCAGAAACCCAAGGAGGGGGTCGCTATGAGTTGGGGCCAACTTGATGGCACATAATAACAACAACAACAGATATTTATAATTCTCTTTTTATTTTTGTAAGAAGGTTTATTAATTGAGGTTATATTGCAATTTATTATTATCTTCCCTAGTTTAAAACAGGGAGCTCTGGTAGCATAGTGGATAAGACACTTGCCTGCTAACCAGACGGCTGGCGGTTCAAACCCACCAGCCACTCCTCGGAAGGAAGGTTGGGCAATCCTACTTCCATAGTGATACTGCCTCGGAAACCCAAGGAGGGGTCGCTATGAGTCGGGGCCGACTCGACGGCACATAACAACAACAACAACAAGTTTAAAACAGTATATTCTACCTTGATATTATTTTGTCTTCCTCTCCATTTGGAAGTTCTGTAATTGAATAATTTATTCTTTCTTTTTGCTTTGTAGTTGACATCATTTGCAAACTGATATCCCTTTTCAGTCTTGTAGATTTATTTTATTTTGGATACTTCTGTATCTGGTTTGGTTCTCAGATGTTGTCATTTGTCTTAATCTCAGGTTGTTATCTACTGTTGTTAATTCTTTAACTTAAAGGTTTCTTTGAATATTTCTTCTAAGGTTGGTCTAGTTTTTACAAATCTCCTTAATTTTTATTTACCTGGAAGTGTCCTAATTTTCCCATTTCATTTTAGGGGCAATTTTCCTGTATATCTAATTATTCGTTGACAATTTTATTTTTTTCTTTCAGAGTTTTATATATATCATTCTACTGCCTTCTTTCCTGCATAGTTTCTGCTGAGAAATCAGAGCTTAGTCTTATTAGTTCTCCTTGTAGGTAATTTTTTTTTTTTTCTTTTTTTTCTCAACTGTTTTCAGGATTCTTTCTCTGTCTCTGATTTTGGAAAGTTTGATTATGACATGTCTTCATGATTTTTTTTTTTTTTTTGAGGTCTAGCCTATTTGAGGTTTGTTAAGCTTCTTAAATGCATTTCTTCTTGTCTTCCATGATGTTAGGGAAGCTTTCTTCCAACAAATCTTTGACAAATGTCTATGTACTTTTGTCTTCTCCTGTTCTGGAATTCCAATCACAAGTAACTTATTCTTTTTTATGGTTCTCACATAATCCTTAGTTTATGTTATTATTCTTTTTTTGTGGTTGTTCTTTTTTTCTGAGTTTTCCTCTAACAGATTACTATTAAGAGATTTATCTTAAATTTTGCTAATTTTGTCTGTCACAGATTCATTTCTATTCCTTTGCCTTTCCAATATGTTGTCTATTTCTGAAATTTTAGAATTAATTTTCTATTTGTTGTTCTTGTACCGTCAACTTGTTCTTGTATGGTTTTCCTGAATCATTTTAGAGTTTTGTCTGCATTTTCCTTGATTTTGTCTGTGCTTCCTTGCCAACCTCAGAGGTTGTGGGTGCCCTTCACTTATTCCATAAGGGCATGACTCAGTCTGTTGAGGGATGGAGCAGAGAGGGTCATGGAGGATAGGTGGGTTGGGCAGATCACCAAGTGGGGTAGGGGCAACAGAGGGTCATCATCATCAGCTGCCAGGTAAGATGGGGTGAGAAGTGGCTACATTTCTGGTCATTGAGAGTGTGTTGGGGTAAGAGAGGCTATCACATCTCTCTGGTTGCTGATAACTGATGTGGATGCTTGTGCAGTCTTGAGTGAGCAGAGCCAGTTATCTGGTTCTAGCCTAGATCAGAACGCTGCTTTCAATAATTTAAAATGGCTGTACTTTGCCAGGCTGGTTGGCAATTTATTGCTCTCTATGTTTTATTGTTCACTGTTTTCATTCAGTTTCTTCTTCTAATCTACATTTGCTGCAATTCTTTATCCTTTCCCTTGAACCTCGGGCTTCCAGGACTATTATCTATATGCTTCACTTGGTTTTTTGGGACCTTTGTTGTAGAGGGTCTTGATAGTATGTCTGCCTAGCCTGACATCTTGGATCTACCTATAATCTACTTTAAAGTGTATATAACTCTGCTGTTACATCCATTTATTTTTATGAACTGAAACTATACCTTGTAGAATGAAAACAAGTCTCTCTATTCTAGATTTGGTATCCTCAGCTTATGACAGAATTCTGTTCCAGTGACTCCATTGTATTTTGGTTCTGTTTTAAGTCAAATTCCTCTTTTTTTAAAATTTTTCATTATTATTGTTTTTATTATCAATATCTTTATAAATCTGATCTTTATTTGTCAGAGAATGAACATCTGATAATGATAACAGCAGCAAATTACATGTTCTAACATAGTGTTTAATACTTATTACTAGCAATTAGATGTACCAAAAAAAAAAAAAAAAGGATAGTATGGTTCATTATATCTAGAATATGCCATAAGTCAGGGACTATTTACAAATAAAATTTACAGGTGCAGATTTTCAATTAAATTACTCTTGATTTGATTTGATTTGATTAATGCATGGCAAAAAAAAAAATAGTATAAACAAGTATACAGCACAGATTCAGTTTCCACTGCCATTTCTCTCTTCAGAAATGACAAAACTTACAAGATTTTTGTGAATATTCTAAAGATAATATATACAGAGATAAGTATTAATATGTGCAAATTTCCATTTTTAACAAACAAACAAACAAAAATATATCTTTCTGAACTACAGAAGAACTAAACCAGAAGGTCATGACTTACAATTTTTAAGATGAGAAAAAAGTCAAGGCATAATGAAAGGTATTTCTATGAAATAAAAGATTATTGTTTTATTAAAATATGTCGCTGCACTAATGTGTGATAAAACTGAAATAACCAAGACTTTCCAGAGGCACATATCTAATATGTATTCTGAAGCACCCATGGCAAAATATCAACTTAGCCAAATATAGAGACTACAGAGCCTTTAGCTTTGAACATTAATATATACAGTCACCTTAATGTGCATATAGAAATGTGGATTATAATTTTGTGACTTCATTAAATGAGTAGAGTAGAAATGAATACAATTGAAATAAGAGATGATTCACTTGTTCTGACTGACTTTTCTGAGTGGTAGGGAGAGAAGATGAGTATATTTCCTTCTGGAAATAGGGAAGATACTGAGCCAAGGTTTTCTCAATTTCCCTCTTTTTCCTTGACTGCTTGAATAATGGGAAGAATCAATGCCTGTCTATATTTGGAGGGATAAATGTTTGTCCATTTCTATAATGGAAAGACTATTTTTTTGGTGTTGAAAAGCCTTTTTTCTTTGAAGGAAATTTCTTTTAAAAATAGTTAATGCCAGCTTTGATATTTCTCCCATTTAACTCTGTGTTCTGTTGAGTCTTATAAAGAAATGATACTCCAAAGAATCAAAGCCTTATATGATACCTATGCAATGTATAGTTATCCAACATTATCAAATAGAGATTCATGTTTTTCCTAGGGATTGTGTATGATCATCCCTCACATACTAAATCATATGAAGACTTCTAGTTAATCTTAATAAACCATCATTTTCACCTTACATTTTATATATTTATTTTCATCATATGAGAACAGAATAGAGCTGATCTCACACATTTCTCATAACTGTCCTATTACAACCTAATAGGTTGTAGGTCCTGTATTCAGCCACACCTTCTTATTATTATTTATATACACACAGAGCCTCTTCAGTTATTAGTAAGTAAAATGCTTTGTATCATAAAGTGACAGCTTCATGACACAATTTATAAAAGCAAACATAATTAAAATGTCATCATTTAGTACCTTACCTACTGTTGAACTTCTCTGGGTGTTTTTCTCTCATGATATGGAATCTGTGTGCAATGGAGGCATCCTAAGAGAGAAACAGAAAAAAAAAAAAAAAAAAGGAAGAAAGTTTATGGTTCTTTTATCTTGTGGAAATTATAGTTTAAAAGAGAAAAAAGGTAAATGAATAATATTTTTTCATTAAGTTTTTCTTAACATGCATTGCAGAGATGTTCTGAAATTAGGTAAAAAAGTATGCAATCTAAGTAAATTGTGCCCCAACATTTAATGATATATGAAATCATTTCATCATTGGTTACTCGTCCTGTTTCCAATTAGAAACTTATTTCTCTCTAATTTATATATCTCCTTTTATAACCCATATTGGTCCCATCCTCAAAACATAATTAAGATAGTACATATGAAATTAAATGTCAAAAAATAGTTGAAAACATTGTTAAAATAGAGTTGGAAGAATGGCTAAAGTTTAGAAATGATGAGGTGGAGAAGCTCCTAGTCCTTTGAGATTAATTATCGGTAAAAAGTGTGAAGGTGCGTATATAATAAAGGTTAAGAGTAACACATAACTTCAGAATTTATTAAATGTATCTTGGATGTGTACTCAGTAACTGCACATACCAAAAGCAAGTTTCTTAAATATCTTTTCTCATTTAATGGAAGGATTGATGACAAGTTTAAGTAAACTCTGAGACCCCAATTGTACCAGTGCTAAACCCTATTAGAAAATTTTTACTTTTAAGAAATCCAGTCAGTTTCCAGGACACTGTGAAATGACAATAAATGTGGGAGATTGGTAGGATTTTGTGATCTGAGCTTTTGAAACACAGTGTGTTCTAGCTGACTTTAAACAGTCACCCCCATTATTTCAAGTGAGGAGCTATTTTCTCATTCTTCATCCTTAGATGATTAATTACTCTGATAGGAAACTAATATATTTACCAGTCATTTCAATAGGAAAGGGGCTATTGTTATGAATAACTGTTAATTCTGTTTCATAGTGGAGATAAAAGAAAAATGAAAAGCCAAACACAAAGGAAATAAAGAAGTTGTGTATTTGAGAGAATTTCAAAAACACTAATCAAGGACTGAAAGTCTAATGAATGAAATGAAAAGGCTAATGTGCTTACTCATGCAGAACAAAGCATGGCACAACAAGTGAGGGACCAATGCCCACTGCAGATGGCAGATAGAGAGAGTTATTTTTCCCTGCAAAATTGAGCTGAGGTTTTTGTTTTGTTTTGTTTTTTAAAATAGAAACGTTTTACACCGTAAAGTCTGTCAAGTAATTAAATGGATCTATAATTAAAAATAAGAGCACAAAAGAATAGATAGATGTGCACAGAAATAACATTTACATAAAGGTTAGGAAAAAAAATATTGTATGGTTTTATAGTCTAAGATAAACTGTGGTTATATATACATGATCATCTCCCTGGTTTACTGTTGCTGCGGTTAGATTCCACTGAGTTGATTACAACTAATACTGATCCCATTTGTGCAGAGTAGAACTGCAAAATAGTGTTTTCTAGGCTATACTGCTGAGTGGATTTGAACTGCTAACCTTCTGGTTAGCAGTCGAGTGCTTCACTGTTGTGCCACCTAGCCCCCTTCCTGGTTTATTAGAATGTAGAAAAATCAAAATGATTCACTTTTATTGGTCTCAAATGCAACCACAAAGTTTTTTTTCTTATTCTTGCTAAAAAGTTGTAAATATACTCTATTTTAGAGTATGAGGTTGTCTTATGTGGTTTGAGATCATAAGAAAGAAGCTGAATGGGTTATTCCTGGTATATTAGGTGACATAATCATTAATTAATTTTTAAAAATCATGTATTTTAGTTTTATCTCTAATCTTGTTCAAAAACAAGATTAGATTGAAATAACTTATAATTAAATGGACGCATCAAGAAGACCAATTAAACAAAAGCATAGGAATAGCAATGAAGTACTAGCAATGAATGACTAATATTGACCACCCAAAGGAAGGAAATCATTCAGTTTATTTTTACTTGAATTATTTGTTTCCGCTAATTTAGAAACTGAGAATTTTAAAAATAAGGTATATTATGCAACTTGTTTTGCAAGTGTACATTATTGTAATAACTATTCCTTTCCAAGAAGCACAAATAGGACAGAGAGAGCAAAAGAATAAAGGAGAGAAGAGGGAAAAGAAAGGAGGTGATGAGAGAGACATATTTTTTTAAAACAAGTCACTTAAGTAGAGTGGGCTTTGCGTAATCTTCCAGAAATATAGAATATTAAATAGCCAGAGATAATATTAGCTTGATTTCCAGGATACTTGGGCAACGATTCATGCAATAAAGAAAGGAAAAAAAAGAAAACTAGTGAGAAACACTGGAATGACTTTTCCTTAGGTTGAATGGGCTGGACCACAAAGTGAAAGCTGGCATCACTGACTACAGGATTGATAAGGAACAATGACAGCAGGTGTTCATTTGGATGAGAATTCAGACCAAATTCCCATGAGACTCTGTTTCTTTGGCCTAACCCCAAGGATCTTAAAAGAGAATGCCAAGTACTGAAAACTTATCCAGCTGCCATATTTCAGAGATACTTGGGTTCTCTAGAAAGAGAACAAATAAGAAAAAACAAAACAAATTCTACTCTTTCTGCCTTCTATGTATTTCTAGGAAGCAGAAATTCAATTCACATTGAGAGTGATTTAATTATATAATTTTGAAATATGTATTTCCGGAATTTCAAATTGGTTTTATTTCCTGAACTAGTAAAATACATTTTAATAATTAATTAAAAAATAAAATGACTTCTGAGAAATAAAAATTAGATCCATCTTTATTAAAGAAAACAATTAAACTTTGTTATATTGATTATCTAAACAATTTAAAAAGTAAGCAGGATAATTTTTCTTGATATATATGCCACTCCTCAGAAGGAAGATGGGGTGCTCTACTTCCATAGTGATATTGCTTTGGCAACCCAAGGAGGGGTCGCTATGAGTCGGGTCTGACTCGATGGCACCCAACAACAACAATAACAATATTGTTGTTGTTGTTGTTATTTGCCGTCG